CTCTCTCTCATCTCACCTCCAGCACGCTGCATCCCCGCGGCGCACGCCCATGCGTGCGACGTGCGCGTGGTCGGCGGCGGCGCCGGCGAGGCGCCGCGCGACGCTGAGCGCCGACAGGAATCGGTTCCGCGCGACGGCCGACATCGCTGGATCCTCCGCCGCGCACTCCGCGTGTCCCGCGCGAGGAAAGTACGTAAGAAGAGAGAACCTGACCAGCCGAAACCGCGCGGGCTGGACTCACATCGGCGAGGAGCTCACGGTCGCGAACGCGTGGTAACCCGGGCCACTCCGAGTCGAGCACTCTCCACTCGCGGAGCCCGCGGTGTCCGGCGACTCGGGATCTCGCGGACGGGTTCGGGAGGAAAAGGGGGGAGGGGGAAAGAACGCAAAGGAAAAGAAACGGAAGGGATAACGATAACGGGCGCCGCGACGACGTCCAGACCGTCCAGTCGTGGCCAGCCGTGCCGACTGGAGGCGGAGCGGACCGCGGACCCTCGTCGTCGAACTTCGGACCTCGGGGGGGTGTCGCGCGGCCGCGTCACCGTCGCACTCATACGCGATGGGCACCGGCGCTCATCCGGCTCGACCGACTTTACGCGGCCTCCTGGCGACTATGGTGTGGCGTGACACGCCGCCGGCAGTCCCGGCACCGTCATACACATATATCGCTCATTACACCACGGACCAAAGAATCGTATGGTTGGCACGTTTCTAGTTTCTACGTGGAAGCCAGTCAGCTGTTAGCGACAAGGGGCGAAGAGGGAAAGCGGCATCGGCAGCTCGGCCGAGTCCGACCATTCCGACCGCGCGCTTCGGACGCGTTCGTGTGATCCGCGTATTAAATGAAACTGCTCCTCCAAACAGTGGCTCTCAACCGGGACGGGATTCGCCCTGAGGATTCAACGATTGCTGGAAAATTTCATGTTGTTTATTTTCATGTTTATTTACGAGCGACGGACTAGATATGCTTGACAAAATGTATTTTTGTTCTCCAGAGATAAAATGGCGAAAACGATCGGAGGGGATTACGTAGATAAATAATATATTAAACGTATTTTTCTTAAGTAATAATAATAGCGCAGTTTTGAACACTCTGGCTTGTCGTCATCTCTCTCGAACATTTTCCCCAAACTTATTAAATTTGCTATCTCATTTATTCCTACTATATTCTTCGTTCTATCGTTTATTTGTTGAACGGTCTCTTATTAGACGGCGGCGGCAGTCTGTACTTTGCCAATTCTAACTCAGCCTCCGCGAACGAGTCCACGTGGTAGCAAAAGTACTCGGGATTCTTGTACTCCTTGTCCTTGGAAGCGTTGGGCCCTACGGCTAAAAACAAATTCTCAAATTCAGCAGGCCTGGAGTCCCTGGAGATCTGCCTTTGGCGAATGCTCTCCGCGGAGAGCGATGTACTGTTTTAATCTTTAAAATCTTACGTGCGTTTGGTACTTTGACAACATTCTGGCTGAGGCCCGGCACGTCGGCGTTCACCGTGGATTGACCGGCGGCGCTCGAAGACTGTGCGCTCAACGTCCGTGAAGCGACGGTCGTTATATTCTGAAAACGCAACAATAACAATTGGAAAGCTTGCAAAGGCGGACCAGGTTAAAGGCTTCGCAAAAACAGTTTTAAACGCAATATACTCTGTTCCGCGATACGTACCTGTACTCGTCTCGCAGCGACGCGCAACATTTCGCGACGATTATAAACGACGATCGAATTATAATTTTGTCAAACGATTATGATTCGGAGTTATGAGTGTCCTTTTGACAATGAGCTCCGTCGCTGGCGTCGCTCCGTCGCTCCGTCCCTTTAACGTTCCTCCACGTGGAGAAATTTCAGTCTTGCCATTGGCGAGCATGCGAAAGGCAGAAATTGTAAGGACGTTTGATTGGTCCCTGGAAGAAGAAGAAGAAGTCTGATTGGCCTGGCTCATTCGGGAGGAACGATTGGTCGGCGTTGCGTAATACGAGCGCAATGCGTGACACGATCGAGTTAGCAACATTTATTTATCAAATATTCATCAAATATTGTTAATTAATAATAATATTATTATCTTGTACTCCTTGCATCTTAAAAGTATCTCTTACGCGAATAGGAAGAACTCGTCTCTTTTACCGCGAGCCCATCTCGTCCCCCCATCCTCGCCCCTTTCGTCAGCTGATATTGAGTTGAGGAAAAAGCAAAACACATCGTCGGTAATTTTCAATGCTACCAACCGTGCCTCTTCACGGCAGCAGCCAGGGTCCAAGTCTACTTTCGAGAATAACGAGAATTCGAGCACGCAACATCAACACGATACGTTCGCGTTCGAAGTATCCGCTGGTTACGGTGTGACATTAGCCCACATTAGCCTGGCCGACGTGCCACTGCCTGCCTTTATGGCGAATTGAGTCGGCGAGGCTAGACTTGCGACTCCCGGTGCGTACACGTACACACACGTATGTACAATACATATATAACCACCGATGTTATGTCATATCTTCAATCATAATATCTCCGTTTCGGAGTTTAACGCTCTTCTTCCTTCCTTCGTACAGGAGTATGTCGTTGTTGATTCACGACAGAGAGACGCCGTAGACGTATCGGTATGTGAACTACACGTTCGTGCGAGAGATGCGACGGTTCCTCGAGGACCGCAAACTACCTTGATTGTTACCTAAAACTGTTTTCGTAAACACGAACTTACGGCAGAGTTGAACCACGCAAGGTATGTCGGTTTTTTATTGTTGAACTAGCCACGCTAGTTCAGAGTTTATCAATAGGCCTGGTCTCTTTAACTGAACTTCTCGCACGGCACATCTTTTCTCTTTTTTCTCACCAACGTGAAAAGAAAAAGACGAAAGATGAACCGTGCAAGAAGCTCGGCTGAAAAAAATCGGGCCTTTTACTCCACATCGGAAGGAAAAGAGGCCCGTTCGTTTTAGCTGAACTTCTTGCGCGGTTCATCTTTTCTTCTTTTCTCTCCAACGTGAAAGGAAACGGAGAAAACATGAACTGTGTTCAAGAAGTTCAGCTAAAACTGGCCTACAATAAACTCCGAACTAGTGCGGCCAGTTCAGCAATGGAAAACGGACCCATAACTAGGTCGAATCCCGCGTGACACTTTATTTTCGACATTTGTACACATTGCAGTTATCACCCTGTATCTCTCACAAATTTACATCAAAATCAATTAGTCGGTTGATCGCGAATACTAAAAATGCAATAGTACGGACTGTGCACAGTCAGTAAGAAACTCTGCCGTGTACGGTCTGGCTCATGGCAATCTCTCTTTCTCTCTGTTTCAGCCTCAACCATGCTGGGAACTTATTTCTGGGAGAATTGGAGGTACAGCAATGCCCCGGAGGGCCAGAATCCGTTCGAAAAGATCGTCGGACTGACGAAATATGGGTTTGTCGGTAGTGCCGGAGTGGGCATATACGATTCCATACTCCTATCTCAGACAGCGGGCTTCTGGAATACGGTGAATTGCCTGTCCTACTGGGTGATACCGGTCACTGCCATGTGCGCCACGTTCGCCTCCGTGGCGTACACGACGACGAAAATTAGGGGGAAAGACGGCTATCTCAGTTACATTCTGGCCTGTACGTAACGTATCGACGTGTATCTCGGCGAGTGTTTTCGCCGGTCGACGTGTCGACAGCTATCGACATTCCTTCGTTGTTTACTCTCGTTGCAGCGTTAGCCACAGGCGGGATCTGCTATTGTTGGCAGAAGAAGGGTCCGTTCTCTCATCACTTTACGGTTTTATTGATGGGGTGCGCCACGATCAAGAAGTACGGCGACTTGAACGATTGGAATCCCTTGCCGTTGAACCCGGAAGTACGAGAGCAATATACCAGCATCCCGTTCGACTTCACCCTCACCAAGGATCCCAGGGGACGCAGGCCATGGGAGTAATATGATATTTCGTGTACAGAAAGGAAATAATTAGTGCTGACGTAAGTCAGGTGGGGAAATATTGTATAATTGATGATGTACAAGGAGATACCAAATGCGTATCTTTCGTCATGTATTTATTCAAGTTCTAGTACAGGAAATAAAAAGGATTGTAAAAAGGACGTCGTAGAGCCGACACGTGGAAGTATTACGTTAGCGTTTCACCCTTTGTGACCTGTCGAACAAACGCCGTTATGAAACCACCGATATAAATGATGGAAAATAAACGACAGAAAAAATACATATTCGGTATAGCAATGCCGTAAGAGCAATGTTACGTTATAGGTGTGCAATCAAGAAACAGATTGCCTTTTTGTAATCAATAATGCGATTTTTCAATGTAGATAGAAAACAAATTACTTACGCATGCCTCGAGATACTCGATTCTCCGTTCGAGGGTCGTGAGCTTTTCGTTGAGGACCGCTATCCTCGATCTACAAGACATATCTAAGAGAAAAAAAGAAGGTTATTGCAAAAGACATACAACAAGACTAAAAATATGCATGTTAAATTGATAGCAGTTTTGTGAGGGAAATATGGAGTCAATAGCGAATTACCAAAGGAATTGAGAAAATCCGTAATCTTCTTAATGCTGCCAGTGATAACTTCTATGTATTCGCGGTTAGCCCAGTCCTGTTGAATCTGTTTCTGTATCGCTTCCCGATGTATGGCTGCCATTCTCCTCGACGCCGCGGTGTATTCTCTCTCTTGCCGAGTCTCCTTTGGCTAAATTGCCGATGTAACGATGAGCGAAGAGTGTCCTCCAGACGGTTCTATCGCATTGTTTGGAATGTGTCAGGTCGTAGTCGAAGTCGTCGGAGATCAACAGGAGCGACGGGTGGCGACGGGGTAACTCGAAACACCGAATCGATTTAATTTTAGGGACCTCGTGCGGCAAAGCAGAAAGAGAGAGAAAAAGAGAGAGACTCTTTGATTACATTGATATCTGATAAAGATAGAAAAATGCTTCCGACTTGCTTTGGAAATTTCTCTAAATTCCCTATTCTTCAGCCAATCGACTGACTTCACACCGTGCTCCACACACACACACACACACACACGCTATCGTATATGCTGTATGATAATAATAGTCGGTGTAATTCAGCATAAGCGGCTAAAGTTTATTTATTTTATTTTGATACTGTAATTGTGGACGTGGATAGGTCGCCGGTTATCACGTCGTGTTGCGCGACGCTGCATATTCGTGACATTCCAGTGATTTCCATGATCTACCGCGGCTGACATCCCTCTTTTATTTGGTATAAGCCACGATGCTGCTGGTGAATCGTGCAATTTTATTAAATTTATTACTCGTGAGTTTTGCTCTCGGCGACCCCGAGGAGGAGCAAGGGGTTAAATACGCCAATAAATGCGAAGGTGGTGGGCAATTATATATTTCTGAGAGAGAAACGTAGTAAATTTAGAGCGTTAGCGTTAGAATATATATGATTTTCCATTAACTTAGGTTGCGGTCTACTTGACGCTACAAATACTTTGGAGTGTTCTTCTTCTCCTTCTTTCTTCATTGAAAGAAAAGAGAAGAGAAATGCTTCGAAGCATTTGTAGCGTCAAGTGGACCGCAGCCTTAATGTACTGGAAGATTAAGAAATTTTTTCTGCGTACAATAACTTCAAATCTTTAATAAAAATTACCTTTGAAATTAATGATAAATCTCTGTTGCAGTGTGCAAAGTTTTAGCTACAGAGCTCGAAGCTAGGCTCGACGAAACAGGAAAAACACATGATGTGTTAGAGATTGGATATTCGGTAGACGATGTTGCGCCAAAGAAGAAAAAGGAATATAAGAAGTCGTAAGTATCGGACTGAGCGAGACTGCAATGAGATTATTCTGATGAGATTGATATAATTTTCGTTTTTCCCCAGAGAATTGCGGTTAGTAGAATCCATGGAGGATGTTTGTGAGCGTATACTGGAATACAATATACACAAAGAGCGTACGGACAGTACGAGATTTGCGAAAGGAATGAGTCAAACGTTCAAAACGTTGCACGGCCTTGTGTAAGATATATTGTTAGCGCAATAGAGTACTGTATAGTGTTCTGAAAATTAATCGATATATGTATGATTACAGGGATAAGGGAGTTAAAGTAGAATTGGGTATTCCCTACGAGCTGTGGGACAAGCCTTCCGTAGAGATAACTACTTTGAAAACGCAATGTGAAAGCTTGCTAGAAAATCACGAAGCTGACATTGAAGACTGGTATCACAACCATCAGGGAGAGATTCCTTTAATTAGGTAGCAACCTAGAATATACCTGTCTCACATGTCCATTTTTCTATCAATGCAGATTAACTTTAGTAAATTAAATCGAGATTAAAGTTAATCTGCATTGAGAAATGGACATTAATCGTTTATATTATTTACGAAATCGGCATCTATTTTTTTTTAATGTTCACTGTTTAGATATTTATGTTCCGAGCGTGCATTGAAAGGACAAAATGATTCTTGTCTGTACGAGGACATCGGAAAAGACGTCAACAAACAAAAGAAAAAGAAAAAAGGGATATCTAAGGAAGAGACAAATAGTAAAGAAAATATGAAGGATAATTCTCAGAATACGAAGCAAGAATTGTAAACCTACGAGAATAAACGAACAAATTCGTATAGATACCTTTTATTAATGAATTAAGTAGAATGTGATCCTACATCCAATAGAGGTACAATATATGTACACACACACTACCAATTCTGTATATAAACGTAATCTGTAAATATTAGCATTGTCTATATACTTGGATATACGTATATGTGCCCTATTGTACTGTTGGAAATTTTATAATAAACTTCTTTTATATATTTTCTACAAGACTCACTTGTAAATGTACATATAGACCAATATAAGCGTCAATTCAAATGTTACGTTAATGTACGTACTAAAACATGTCAAAAAGTTTGTAGTTTTATTTAATACCAGTTAAAATATGTCAACCAAGTTTTACTTAATATGCCGGAAAGGTAGAGGCATAATTCTTATGAATATGAATCGTTTCATGAAAAAAATTATATTTGTATTAAATAAAGCACGTGGTTTATTATTTGCAGATGAGATACGCACTCTTCGCAGCAAAATTTGTTACATTCAAGTACAGATTGTATTAATCTTAAGATGGTTTGGGTTTATTTCTGAAGGGAGGCGGTATCCACTTGGATTTACCGCGAAGCTCTCTCAGACGCTCGAATTCCTCCTTGAAGTCCTTATGCTCGTCCCTGAAGAGACCGTAATCGCGCAGATGTGTCATCAACAGTTCCGTCTCTTTGAATCTCGGATAATAATCCACGATCTCCGGTCGCTTGTTCACCGGTTTCTCACTGAGGAGCTTCACGACCTTCATCGACTTCTGATTAGTCGGCCTAGTCACCTCGCCGAAGATTCGGTTACTCAAGCGATTCATACGCATGGCATAATTAGTGCCCACGTTCGCCAGATTCACGTATTTACTCATCTTGATTGTCAGACTGCCTCTTGTCAAGCCTATACGAAAGAAAGAAGGAAAGTAAGGTTAAAACCGACTTTACGAAGATCAGAATGAAACTTTTTAGGTTCGAGACAAACGACAGAAGTCAATTTTTGAAGAAATCCCATTTGTCTACCTCGTTATCTGTTTCTACGCGTAAAATTGTAGATCAAATTGTTAGTTTAAGCTTCGAACGAAGGTGAAAGCAGAGAAAAACATCGTCCACATGCCATAGTTCTACACATCTACATTTCTACAATCTCATTATTGTGCACAGCTGATTGCATACACTATACATGAACATAACCAATAATCAGCAAATTGGCGGCAAATTCGAAAATTGCAATTATAAATTGTGTAAGCGGATTTTATCTTTTAATATTAGCAGGAATTTAGTTTGTTTAATTTTGCTTATTCTGTTATCAGCAATGTAACTAAAAAGACGTACAATATTTAATAAGTGCATTATTATAGAGTTAATTTTAAAATATTATCTTTAATCTAACATTTGTGCTTTTTTGTCCCTAAAAGTGAAATTATTATGCATAATTATATTAAATAAATTATTAATTTTAATAAATCAAATTTTTTTTGCCATTTTGTTACAAGAAAACCGCACTATAAAGGGTTAAGGAAAAATTAATGAATATATTTGAGACGGGCATAGCTGTGATTTTTTACGAACGACTTTTTCTATTAAGAATATTTTTAATTTAACGATTGCATTTTAATTCTATATAAAAATAAAAGTCAGACATCGGAGATATGTGTGCATTCTCGCTGAATTATAAGTTCAACGCGTTCGTCAGCGAGTGCATTATAGGTGTATTGACGACGATTGAGGATATCGGCGGTGAAATTATTATTAAATTAGATTGCCCGGATTTTCCGAGGCTTCCGTAAGCGAATCGCGAAGCCCGCTAAAAGTCGCATCGCCGCAGAATTCCATCGCTCTTCGTCTAGGTAAGTACTACCTACTTGAACTTTCACGATTTATGTATCTCTCATAAATTAATTCTAACTTATTAAAACTAATAACGGCGATTGCAAACCGATTTGAGCGTGAAATAATTAATTTTAGTATTATTATTTAACGGAAAACTTTTAGTTAATTAGATCGTATAAATTATGATGTATTAATTGAAGCTTCAAAAATATCGATCTCGACTAATTTATTGATGCATTTCGTAAAACTGCAAACGATGAGCAATTAATTGTAAATGTAATTAGTTATCAGTGTGCAAAAATTAATTGCAAATTTTCTGTGCCTTCGCAAGAATCAATGAAGGCGATGTAGAAATCGTACAATCGTCGTACTATAAAATGCGAAACTTTTATTGTTACTTTATGCGCAATAAATCGCACGTTACAGTGGCATTTGAACTTTTAGCCTGGAATGCAATTGCGTTGCATTTCCTCTCAAGAATAATCCTGTGTGCGCTTTTAATTGAGGCGTTTACTTGACTGCAATTGTAACAACGGCCAATACGGGCCGAAACTGAAATTTTTCATTAAACGATTGGAAATCTGCATTTACGAGTTGCTTTATAAATATTTTTAATTTTAACAAATTAAATATGTTATAAAAATAATTAAGAGATATTATCTAGATGTTGAAAAAAAAACCGTATTGGATACAATCAAATATAATTATTTACATGATATTTTATTTAGTAATTTATGAGTAATTTATGCGACATTTTAGTCATAATTTTTCACATATGATTGCTCCAACTAATGATATCATAATAATATGATGCGATGTTGATAATGTTAGGAATCCCAGTGAGTAATATCCTGTTGCGATAACTTAAACACATTTAAATAATTCGAATTGATAAATAATAGGACTATTTACTTCTCATGTATTAAATAGGGAGGAGACACATTTGTATTATACAATTTAGAAGAATTTAGAAGAAATGATTAAAACGCAACTCAAAGTATTTTATACAATTTTAAGGAAACACTCGGCATTGCTTTATTTACTTTTTATATATCTATTTTTGTTGAATATTATAATATTATATATTATAATATTAGTGCGGCATTACTGAAGGTTATCAGTCGTACTTCCCTATATCATATGTGGGTGTGTGATAGCAGTTTCTTATCGTATAATATAAATACGCGTGTCCGCCGTCATTTGTCATTTGTTCTCGAAGATTTATATTGTCGACGTAATAGCATAATAATCATGCTGCGATACATGTTAGTACTTTTATACGTGATAACGTATTGTACGGCAAATACGGAAAGTCCAATTGGAACTGATACGGCAATCAATGGATTGACAGGTAAATTAATAAGAAATGAATTGTAATATCACTTTAGGATTAGCAAATACACTTTAATTTACTTGAAACTTTAAAGAGAGAGGAGGAGAATAATATTTCGTGTCATAACTATATGTTTTGAATGTTAAATTGAATATTTTTTATTAATTTATATATTTTACATCATAATACATATTTCATCGTGATCGATGTAGGGAAAAATATCTCAATTTACAAGACTTTCCTACAGCTGCAAGCAAGTTATTACCAAACGCAAATGGAAATTTGTCTCCGGCACAGCAGGTTATTTACATTTACGGACCGCGTCAATGGAAAATGCAAGATGGTATCAATCTGATAGAAAAAGCAGGAAGCGATTACCTTATTACGCCTGGCATGGGTGCTCATAAACTTCACGCCCGCAAGGTGCCATGGAACAAAGCTCGTAGAATTTGCATTCAAGAAGGGGGTGAGTTCCTATTGTGAGTTTTTTATGACGGTTCATCGAAATGCTCCGCCACGTTTCCACCATTTTCCGCGAGCAATAACATTTCATCGTGAATCGCCCTTTGCTGAACTGTCTTTTATATATCAAGAATACGGCATCCAATGAGACTATAGAAATGCGTGCAAAAGTTAACGAGTAAATCTTGGTCGCGCTTTCGTGTCGCTGACAGATGATTTCCGAATTTCATTGTCAGTCACAAACGAGTTAGATAACAGCAAAAGTCACGTAAATTTATACGGATTAATGCGAATCTGCCTGTCGGCGTAGGTCATTTGGCTGTCATTAACTCCAATTCGGAGGAAAAGCTGCTGTTGCACATTTTGGAGGAGAACAAGATAGATCGGGCATGGCTCGGTGTACACGATCTCTACGAGGAGGGCGATTGGAACACGATCACGGATGAATCTCTGGAAGCCACGGGCTACTCAAAATGGACTTTGAAAATTGCCAACGAACCCGACAACCATAACGGGAAGCAGCATTGCGGAGTCCTCCTAAAGGACGGCGGGATGGACGATACCGAGTGCACCGCGGCAGTTGCCTTCTTCTGCGAAATTACCGTCTGAATCAGCGAATCCTCATAAATCGTGCGAACGCGAGATCATAATCGGACGTTGTAACGATACGCGATTTATCAAAGGTTTATAATTAAATAGTCATCCTGAGATGTGCTATCAAGATCGAATTAACAACGTCGTGTGATAATGCAGGCGTATTTTCACGATTAATGAAAGCGATTATAGGTCATAAGCTCTATTTTTATACCTAACGATTATCTTTAAGGATGTTGAATGCTGTGGAACATGCGTAAAACATACTAAGAAATGATGAAAGGAGACTATTATCTTCTTACAAAATATACTTAAGAATGTCGATTCTTTAGAAGCAATATAATTGATAGAACATAAAGAGGACGATTGAAAAATAATATAATATAAACAAAAAATGGGAAAGACTTGTTTTCTCTAGATTATAACTGTAATAGTTAAAATTAACGGAAGACATAAAGTGAATTTTAACTAGAACCACTTTAAACATCTTGCCTCCGTTATTGAGAACACCGCAGTCGGGAGGATAGGAGAGACTCGTCGCAACTTAAAGGTCAAAGAGCACTCGTATTCCCTGTTTCTCCCAACTACTGGATTCGTAAACCGCGTATATATACAAAGGGCAATACTGTTCACAAAGCTTCAATCATCGCGACCCCATCTGACGTTTACATATCGGTTTGCATTCGTCGTGTTTCGCGAATGAATACAAACGCCGGCGATCGGGCCAGATTACGGTGATGAGATTTCGGTTGATCTCTCCCGTCGCGGGGGCGGGGGGGTCGAGTTTCCCTCTCGTCGTCCCCGACGAGGCCGTCGTTCGCGTTTATACGGGCACAGCGCCCGATAGCTATATACACTCACAAGCCGTCCTTATTGATTTTCCTGGTGTAGGCGCACGCGCCATCCCGTTCCCGATTTTGCGACAAGGGGGGTGCGGCTGTAACCATGGATCCCAGTGTACTCGCCACCATGGACAAGGACGCACTGAAGAAGCAGATCGAGAACATGAAGTACCAGGCGTCCATGGAACGGTGGCCCCTGTCGAAGAGTATCGCGGCGTAAGTGCATCGTCGGCGCCAGTCGAATCGTCATCTTCGTCGTCGTCGTCGCCGTCGTCGTCTAGCTTGCACTGCTAGTTGTCTATTCGTTCTTCCGCCCTGCTTGCGTATCATTTGCACACGTCTATGGATACCCGAGAAGACCCGTCGCCCTCGCACGCAGGTGTATCCCAGAAATCCTGCCAATTTCTGCCGATTGTGGATCCAGCGGCGAATTTCTGAAGCGGAGTTTTCTCCAGAGATTGAAAATTGAATTGGAATTTATTACTTTTTGTTGTGATTTCCCTCTTATTGTCATCAGATACCGGTGCATCTGAATCTTAAATTAATTTTCTAAATTCTTATCGAAATTTATTTGAAATCTAATTGCTTGTATGTGTGTTCGTTTACACATAAATTTAACTTAACGTTACCTTTTTACATTAATGTTCAATGTCATCATTACTGTTGACGCATAGGTATCGAACAGCCGCCATTTTTCATTGAAAGTTGCATGATCTGTGCTTAAATGCGATTTCTGGGATATTTATTTAATATTTTCTTTTATTTAATATTAGAATTGATTCCTGATACTAATCAGGAAAACTATAGTTCTGTTTTTTTTCTTTAATCTTTGCCTCATTCGAACGAAATGTAATAGCTCATCTTGCACTCATTTGCTACTGGACAAGTGACTGATATAGAAAATAAGTACTTATCTTTATTCTTCATTTATTATAATTTTGTATTGTTATTAATGTTAGCCAATAGGATATGTATATGTATGTATTCGTTATATGTATTCGTAATATTCGACTTGTAGATCACTGTAACATTATACGCATAAGGCACATCTTTTCTTCAATTGTTAACACATTTTTTTTTGTCTATTCTGGTCTCTGAGTAATCGTTAAGTATTTTTATATAATTTAAGTACACTCAATAAACAAGAAGTACCATTAGGTCCGTGGATCTCGAGCTAGCGCATTTAGTTTTTGCAGCACGGGCGTTGTCTATTCGTTCTACAAGCGCTTTTTAACACTTCAGGTATTCTCTATGTACAAGGCACATTGCGCGAAGGCTGTTTAACGGTAACAGCTGTAGTTCCTAGTTCCTGAATAACCGACGATGTATAATTTTCGCCGGTGCGTAATCGTAGAATGCCTTTCCAGATGAATTGGTTCGCGCATAAACCTACGTAATACCGTAATCACCGCAGGTTGTTTTCGTTCAAGGTTCAACTGTGTCCATTTCAGCTTCAGCTGAAGGATAACGTTATTAAAAATTGAATAAAAATTTATTTTTTTAATTTGTAATTACGTATATTAACCACAGTTACGAATGCATGCACAAGCAGCTTTTCTCAGTTGCTTGAAAAAATATGGCAAAAAAAGGAAAAATATACGATAAACGCGATCCTATCTAATGGAAGTAAAAAATATTTTATTATAATTGTATGATATACATATATTGGGTTGGCAAATAAGTTTGTTCGGTTTTTTCTAGTCAAAACCAGTCAAAAAACCGAACGAACTTATTTGCCAACCCAATATTAAAGAGAACACGAGAGCCAAAATTGGGAAAATGTTTTAGAAGTCAAGGGTATAATTTTTTTACGTGTCTTAAAATTTACTGATTAAAGTCTTAATCGGTATTACATTTTGGAAGGGCATCACCAATCATTATTTCAAAGATAACATTGATCAGTGTAACTTAGAAAATTTGTTATCCATTATGCGCGAAATGTGGAATTGAATTTTTATTGCCACGAGTTAAAACCGCAATTGCTACGAAATGTGCATGCTCCTGATCGCGGCGTAGGTGTTCCGGTGTTCCCGATATCGCGTTTTCCTCGCCTCGTATAGCGCTGCTGCGCCTTTTCCCAGATAAGTCATCTCGCGCGCGCCCATGTGCAGCCGCCGCGGCACAGTCAAGGCTGTGAATTGTATGCTCGACGTCCCCGTGTTACGTGGAGAGGGACAGGATCTCCTTGGAACTCGGCGGTGCGTGTATTCTCGCGTTAATCGCGTTTTCGCGCGGCACACGATCACTTTCAGGGGAACGCGCGCGTATTTGTGATACGCGCAAATAGGAGCGCCGAACCTGACGTCGCCGTGCCGCGCCGGTCGGCGATTATGATGACTCAATGACCGGCGATGATCGGCGGTGATCTAATTGGAACCGCCGCGCACTGCGCCAGCTGGTCCCCGATCCGCGATCGTCCCTCAACTTCTTACGGTTTCGTCACGCGCAAACGAAAGGGATCGCGCGGAAAGAGATCGCGCGAGGATTATCCCTCGCCGCGGTCCGTTCGGCTCCAGCTAATTATATCCCTCGCCGTGTCGCGCGCTCTCGCTATATAATGATCGAGCGCGGCCGAGTTATTGCGAGACTATAAGCTCGCAAAACGCGATCGGCTCTGCGAATTTAACTCACGCTCCGACTGATTTAATGACGGCGTTAACGACCTTTTGTACAGTAACGAGCCTATACGGAGAAAATATTGTATTATAAATTACATAAAACGCAACAGTACTCGAGTTAAATACTTCTCTTTTACCTCGGTGGACAATTTGATTATATTTTTAGTTATATGTTATTGTAATATTCAATTACAATAATTCGTTTTTAAAAGGAAACTTATATTATGAACGTGCTATACGCTCTCGTTTCAAAAGAAACTTTTATTTCTGGTTGCTTTTATTAATATACTATTTCAGATATCCTTTCTCTTAATTGATTTTCACCGGTAGGACCGACACTTAAAAATATCGAACCTGTTGAATACGAGCGAAAGCATCCCCGGTCACCTGCACCGCGGCGTTTCGCAAGATTGCATCAATATCTCGCGCGAGACGAAAGATAGCGGAAGGATCCAGGAAGCGGGCGTGTGGAAACGTATCGTCGTATTATCGGGGCGCGAGATTAGGGGATAAACAGAAAGAGGAAAGAGAGGAGAAGGAAAAAAACGGGGGTGACGCGCGGAGCGAAGGGAGGAGAGGGAGAGGAAGGCGGGTGCTCCGCCGCCTTTCACCGCTCGAGAAGTCGCGCGAGACCGCGGAAATTTTTTGCTTTCGCGCGCGATACTTAACTCGCCTCGAAAACCGAAGAAAACAACCGTCCGGTCGTCGTTTGGCCTAAACGCACGCGAGCGCGCGCGCGCGGTTCCGCGTCGTTCCGCAAGCGGGATCACGCGCCGGAACAAGAAGATCGGGGCGCCTACTTATACTTCCCGCATGTGCCCGCTCGATCGTATCGCGTCCATTAGCGATGCGCCCATGCGCCACGGCCGGTTTCTCGCTAACGATCTAATTCCGGTTTAATTGAGAGAGCTGGTCGTACACAGAGACACAAATCGAAATTATCGCGCGTGAAATATCGATATATGCTAACCGGCACGATGGTAGCGGCGGCCGCGGCCCGGCGGCGTGACGCGCGTCTCGGTTCCTGAATTTAGGATGACCTCCTTTAAACTCGGCTGAACCCGACGCCTGTTGCATTCATTGGCACGCAATGTGGGTCGTTCTCTTCCGACGCTCTTCTTTTCGTGGAAGTCCTACTATTCGCGATCAACAGCGTTTACGATTATTAATAAACAATCAAATATGATTTAGAATTTATAATTTATAACATGAATTATAATCGAAATTATTCTTTACAAGGGAGAAAGAAGGGGAAAGGGGTAAACTGTAAATTTTACTTCTTTATCTCATATATAAAATAAAAATTTGTACCTTCTTTCTCTTTTTTACTAATTAGGTTCAAGAAATCTGGAGTTAACGTGCCTCTGTTTAAAAATTTTGTGACACAAATATAATGTCGGCGGCGCGCGAATGTTTAGCGAAACTGGAAATACTGGAATACCATACTTGTCGCCAGCATTTTTGTCAATCAGATAGTTTCACTCGATCATCGTGCGTTAAATTGCGGCTTCCATTCTCGTCCGCCAGGCCGTAAAGATAGACACGAAAGTGAGACAAACCGCGAACTCGAGCGTGAAGTGAACAGAATCGCCATTCATTTCGTTTCATACCGACCGATCCGCTCGACGAGGCTCTCTCCATTTGGCATCGCGACTCGCGGGGATTCGGAATCGCTCCGATTTCGATGCGATTGCCGGCTCATTATATAAACGACGGTCGCTAAATAATAGTTCGTCGCAGAAATCGCGAATCGGTAACATTACGACACGGGTGTCGGGGGAAGGTCGTTCACCCGCACTTAAAAATTGCGCGACGGACGCTGATAAGTGAAAGTCCGCGCGATCCCCGCACGAACTCTGATAAATCAATACCGCGATCAAGCACGAAATGCGATTATTGCTAGTCAAATAAAATTTACGTGCAATCGTAACGTAAGAATACGATATGAGAGAGAAATATTCTCTCGCTCGTTATAAAAAGCCACGTGTTTTATCGCTCGTATTGTGGAAATTAAAAAAAAAAACATTTCGCGCGACTAGGATTAGGATGATTATAGTTTAACTCATCATTTCGTAAATTTCTTTACTCATAATATTTATTTATCTTAATTTCATTATTTATTTGAATTAATACGAAAAAAAAAAATTTTCTCTACGGGCATTTGTTGAAAGAAGACATGTAGCTACCAAGTGATTCTTAATGCGTCGACCTCGTCATTCATGCGCGCAAACGCGCTGCAGCTGTCACTCAAAATAAATCGCGTATTTGCTCAAGCACATGTTCCGACGTTGAAGGCTTGCACGACAATGTTGAACCATAGTTTACAGCCGTCGTTTATGTGCGCAATAAAAAAAAAACACGCAGTGAAGGGTTAAACGCGCGCGTGCGGCGTTAAACCGACCGACCGGCGCGTCGCTCTTGTATCCCGCGGGAAGGAATGTCCACGGACATTTTGCGCTTGGCGAGCGTCTAGGTGGCAACAAAATTCGAAAGCTTCGTGCCGTTTTGTCGTCGTGCCGCTTGCGCCGCGGCAACTCTCCTTGAACGCAAAATCGGCCGCGCGCGAGCGAGAACCGAGAGAACCGAGAGTCCCTTTCACCGACTTCCTCGCGAAACGCGAACGATCGGATCGGCCGCTCTACATGCGGAGGCGCGAACTTATCGGCGATCTACTAAATCGGAGGTAGCGTATCCACGCGTGCACGAGTCTCGCGTCTCGCGCGGGACCATTCTCCACGAGATCCTGGAAAAACGCCAAATCTGCGCCTCCGGCGAGTTTTGAGCGCGAGCAATGCACCGAAACGCGCGATACACTGTTAAATATTAAAATATGTAACCTTTTGTTACTTTTGGCCACCAGGTGTGTGTTGAAATTTATTATTTTAGCTTCATTAGGTTTAACTTCATTAGTTAAATTAACAACATATTGAATAGGAGCAATGATGATAATAGGATTGATTAAAAATGACTGAAATTGAGTATTATTTGACACATACGAATTCAACAATGTGTCCCGAGAATAAAATATTCGTTATCAAGAGAAATGCACGCGTATAATAATAATTTGACATATCTTCTTGTCCTCAAATAAAAAAAAAACTTTTATTGAAGAAGCCAAAGATAACATGTTACAATTTGCGATTAATAACGAATAAAAAGATCTACGGTAATATTCTGAAGTTTCTGAACGAATATTTTATACTTAAAATAAATTTACCTGATCGTCCTTTCTCGCGCATGTTCTAAATAAGTAAGAAACGCGACTTTACGAAGAGATAAAGGGTCGCGCAATGAGGAATTAATTCCACTAGAACGAATCACAATCGCACGTTTATTGCGCCATAGTCTTAGGTAAGCTGCACGGCAAGCCGGAGTAGTAACGCATGTTGCTAGGTTGCAATTTCAGCATTACGCGAGACTGACGTACCGGCTTGACCCTCTTATTCTTCTTCTCGGCAGGATGCGGGAGTACGTGGAAGAGAACGAGAAAAACGATCCGCTGATACACGCGCCCGACAAGAAGAACAATCCCTGGGCCGAGAAAGGCAAGTGTATAATCATGTAATCGGGGCCAGAGCGCGGTGGAAGGGCAACAGAAGAAGAAGGAAGCGTGCATACAAAAACCGTGGGGGGAGGGGGAGGAGTCCGGTTGTTCATCCGCGGCAAAGGGAATCTCAGCCAGAGATCACGAAGCGGGGAGGGAGGAGGAGAAGCAAGAGGAGCAGGAGGAGAAAACGCAAGGAGGAAGAGGAAGAGATATGCCCGGTGGACGTCCGCTGCGATTCGATCGCGGTTCGCGGATCTACCCGATCGTCATCGAAGCGATCGTCGACCGGCAACCCTGATGCCGAAATAGAAACGTGGGCTACGATCGATCCCGCAGTCGATCTGTGCCGATCGAAAATCGGACTGAAGCCAAATCCGTTTGCCGGACCGTTCCGTTCCTCCGGGACCACGATCGCGCGGCGTGCGGCTTTGCCGGCCAATTTCCCGACCCGTGTCGTCTCCGTCAGATCCATCATATCGTCATCCTTCGCTAATTGTTATATTCGTAAAGATATTCCGAGATAACTCGAAGCCTGTGCATCGATCGGCCCGTTGACACAGACAAAAGGATACGAAAACAAGATAAAAGATTAAAAAAAAAAAAGAAAAAAATAACGAAAATGACGATCGTATAAATCTTATGAAACAACCGCGTCGTTAATTTGCGTCAAATTCAAAACGTCTTGCGTTCGCGAGGTACCAACGGGGCGCAGAGGCGAGAAGCGAGAAGAAAAAGGAGGAAAACACCTGGAAGATTTGTGAAAACGGATGAACCACTTCCCGGCTCGATCAACGTCGAATTAATCGCCGCATGCCACGCGACGTACCGCCCTGTACATCTCATTCGCCGATGCATTCACTTGCCGTGTTAAAACTCTCTCCATTCACCGATCAACCCATGAACGCAATTTATTCTTAACGTTACGTGTATACATAAATCTATATATATATATATATATTCGTATTGTACAAGCGTACAGTTAATTACTGTAACGGATAATTTTAATTAATCTTGTATGTACCTCTGCGCGAATTTCTTACGAAAATATATAACACGACCAGCGACTGAAAATCCAAAATCCTGTTTTCTGCATTCGTTACTCGTCTCTCAGGGAAACGCGTGCACGGCAGAATCGTCACACATAAAGTTCTTAAATTGAAAATCGCGAGTCTTCAATTTAACGAAAAATCATCTGAAGTGCGACCGGAATCGCTCTACCGCGGCATGACATTCGATTCTCTCTTTCGCTTTTTCTCTTTCTTCCTCGTCGTCTGACTAGTTGCTAGCCGTTTCTACTGACAATCACGATATGTACGCCCGCGGGATTCTGGCATCGCTACACTCTCTATTTATCGAGATACGAGATATTCGATGATGCACGCGCATGAGATTCCGCAATTGCTAAAAATTCTCCGCGTTTTTAATTTCTTATTAACAATATTAACGTACATATGTAACTTATTAATCAAACGACGAGGTGTTCGAATACTATCGTATTGCTATTTTTATATTCGAATCGGTGGAATGTAAACTGCGTGAATATGTTTTGTTTAATGATTAATTATTGTTACGAAAAGGCGTCGATACTTCAATTTGCCAAAAAAGTGTTACAAACAATTGTGAGACAACTTGTATAGAGAACGCATGTATTATTATTTGTATAGGAAACTTGGAATTTTTATCGAGACAATTCTCATGTATATGAAAGATAAAATGTGATGACATAATATGCCGAAAATAAAGTTGACTGGAACGCAAATATAGATCGATAAACGCATGGAGTTTGATTTAAGTAAATTCTGTACGCTTTCTAAGAGAAGTTATTGTTTCGTTTCTTGCTAGTGTTTATTTAAGTTAGAATTGCACATAATTCTTGTTTAATTATAAATAACAGATATATACGTGTAAATGTCTGGAAACTTTCTTTTTACAAATTTTTAATCCAGTATCCCTGTATATAAGTGAGTTCTGTAGGGTTCGATATTTTCTCAGATTCGCGGAACAGCGTGTTTTGCCGTCGCGTCGGTTCCAATTTCGTAATACGATATCCAGAGTATAATTTTAAACAAAACCGTATTACAACCGCTTTTGTTTCACACAACACAAAACCCGCAGCGTGAGCGAGCGCTATCGCGAAACCACGAACAAAACCACGTTCCGACTCCGAGAGTTATGCGCTTTTAGAGGCGGAACTTGATACGTTCGCGCGCGCGGTTTTGCCCGGCTGCGTTCGGCCGTCCTCTGAGAGTCTCTATCGAAAATTACCTTATATAAAATCTCATTTAAACGATAGAAGAAGCCTCCAATTTGTTGCGCGCCGTAATCGGCGTCAGGTACTTGGAAATCAGGGGTTTCCAGTCACGAGCGTATTGGGTAATCCCCCATTGACATGCGGAAAGGAAGAACATAACGTATAACAAATAAAACTCCTCCCCCCCCCTCTGCGGAAAAGTAATTTTCGAAACCCGTTTATACTTATAACCGCGAGTGCGCGGCGAGGTTCGTGGAAAAAGGGTTAACGACCGTTTCCGATAAATTGCGTTGTCCGAGCAATTTATATTTCTCTATAACGTTAATTATGCAGATACTTACGGATCGTTAGGATCCGCCTGACGGCGAAGAGAAAGGATGAGCGACAAAGGAAGGTATTTTTCATACAGGCGAGGTATTAAAATTTTTACACGTATAAACAGCGAGGAGAGACGATGTGAAAAAAAAGGAAAAGAAAATGAAAAGCGGGCAAGACCCGCAGGGGAAGAATCGCGAGAGTCTCACTTTCGCCTCTTAAACGAGCGAGAAGGTTTGAGAATCGACAGACGGCGTGTGCCTCCGTGACAGTTAGCGACGCGAATTAGAATTTAGAATCTCTCTTCCTGGGAGTCATTATGTGCGATTAATTTGCGAAATAATTTAACGTACCTAAGTAAGTCAGCGTTCGTTACAGTTGTGAACATTGTAGCGAGCGGGTACAATTAAATTCTGCAGTTTACTTTCGAGGTGCCGCGACATAAATGATTATCATGTGCGTCGGAGCTTGAAAGAGAATCTGTACGCACAAGTATTATAGCCCAAGCTGTTTGTTTTAAGGTCTTAAAATGTGCGATCAGTTATTACAATTTGCAATATGTAGATTGGAACGTTTAAAATGAATCATTGTTCACTTGCAAAGTCGGCAGAGCATCTTCGAATGATGGCATTCGGAAGAAATGTGCTCTGGAAGTAATTTGTCTTCTTTTCTCAGCGAAAGTCTAAAACTTCAGTCTTAATTACACTGGCCTTTTGGAATAGATAATTAGAGCGACACGATCAAAGCGGATACAGTAATCTCTACACTTCACGGAAGCTCATTAAGCATAGGTTTCTTCCTTATATGATTCATTTGCTTATGTATTATAATTAAAAAGAAAAAGAAAACTTAAATATTTGATTATAAACTAGATAATTTATTAGTAACGTTTCTAATTTGAAAAATAAGACGCACAGAAAAGAAACGTACTATAAGTAATCGGACAATATTTAAAATTAATCGAGATTTTTGTCATATATTTAAAATGATTTGACGTTTCAAATCCATATCTGGAAGTTTCTTCATTGCCACAAGCATCAATCTAAACTGATTTTAGATTATTTACGCCGGTAAATGCTGCACCAAATGGATTGTCTATCGCATCGTGTGCGCAACTGTTATATAGAATAATCGCACGATCGCCGTCGACAATTTGCTGGAACATTTCCCCAATTATACTGCAAGTGTTGCAACATTTAACCGATCAATTACGTGTGTACCAGTCGTATTATGCAGCCGTTATGCTTTAGAGTGCATTTGTGTCGTGCAGTTGACGAAGTTCATCGACTTCTTGTCGTATTATCCGGCCATTATTTTTCGTTCCGCTTCCTCACCGATTAATATCGCGCTCCAGATATAATCGCGGAAATGTCACACGTTTTTCCAAGTATTAGAATTTCATAATGTAATTAATTTTAATATATATTTACGTAATAAAAAAGGCAGAAATTTTTAATACATGTATACTTGTTATACACTTGTTTGAACCAACAATTATGCGATTACGTTTTATAA